GAATAAACTACATAAAAACTGTTAAAAAGACCTTCTTTGCACAGATTTTTAGAAAAAATTTAACAAGTAGATTAAAAGACAAAAGAAGCCTCCTTTAGGTAAAACAACTATTATACCTCAGCTAATTGGACCATAACTTGATAAACATCTAAAAGTCAAACATACCCCTCCTTTGTATCATAAAACACTTAAAATCAAGTGCAAAGCAACACCCTGTGCAGACATTTTTACATCTGCAGCTCTATCAGAATGTGGTGAAGGTCACTACAAACCCAAAGGCAGCTGTTACCCACCCTCTGCAGATCAGCCATGCTTGACTCCTCGCCATTTTTTGAGAAGATGTTTCTTAACGCCTCGAGCTGTTTTGTAAAGTGTTCAAAGCGGCTCATCTTTTGAGTGCAGGAGGAGCAGTCACCTGGGAACAAAACACTGCGAGAAGCTAAAACCCAGACCTCTGACCACACACACATGTGAGGAGCATTTAAATCCCTTTTAGGTGAAACTGAAATCTGGTTGAGCAACTTCTTTGTGTCTAAAAGAACTCTCATGCATGCTGCCAGATCATTTTACCCCAACAGGAGGTGGTGGTCACAGCTTTCTGTTTACAAAGGTGACAAATTAATCACAGTTTTCAGTTAGATTCATACAAACCAAACTAGAAATCGAAACTCATTCAATATTTACTCATAATTCTGTGAAGTTTTACCTCCTTTAAAGGTCATTGTTTTAACAACTTATAGAATGTCTGTTTTACCTTTTATTTATAAAAAATTAAGAGAAAAAAAGTAGTTTGCAGTGTGATGACAATCAACATTAAAAGAAAAACTTATCAGTTTCATTTAGTGGTTTAAAATTAAAAACAGTTTTTGCATAAAAATAGAAAAACTGTCACTCCACAGGTAGCAGATCCATGGTTTATATGCATCAGATTGTCTAGAACCGTTTGTAGGAGTCGCTCTGACCTCTTGTGGAAAAATCTATGAAAATTTCCATCATTTTAAAACTTAAAGAGGCTAAATGTTTTTTCATTTTTTAATGTGGCAATTTCCTGTGAGTCATTACTTTAGGTTAAATGTCAGGCGCATGAGGGATGTAGTTAAAATTACATTTTTATTTTAGATTTAGATTTTTCTATTAGATCATCTTGAGCAGCACATCTTCAGCTCTCACATTAAACACAGTCTGCTTTCTGTTTTTCAGTCTAGTACATGATGTTCACAGGAGTAACTCCTCTTCTTAAAGCCACATAGCTCTGACCTATGAATCATCAAGCAAACAAAACGTTTTTGGATCAAAGGGGTGATGCAGTGTTGTAAATGGAGCGTTTCTATGCTCTCCCCTTAAAGGGCTTTCGGTGCTCTGTGGATTCATGCCCACACACTTACATCCACCAGTGTGTGGGCAAACGTGGATGCGCCCACGGATCGGTTACATGTGGTATTGTGTGGTTTTCATGTGAACATTGACAGAAAAGCAGAAATCCAAAGTTAGGCCCAGAATTATTTATAAATCTGACAGGATTAATATGATATAGATAACATATTAATCCTGTCAGATTTATAAATAATTCTGGGCCTAACTTTGGATTTCTGCTTTTCTGTCAATGTTCACATGAAAACCACACAATACCACATGTAACCGATC